CGAATACCATTGACGCCTAATCAAAGGAATAGAGTGTCTGAGACTAAGTAAAGACATCATTTAGCGCGTTATTTGGATATAGAAAAGGCGCCGAAGCCATATAATACAGTTATTATGTACTAAGTGTGGGCGATACCCCTATCTACAGCTTAAATACGGGAATATTACATAGATTGAAAGATGAATGTTAGAACAGTCTAGTGTCGATAATCAAACTTTTAAAATGTAACGTGTATCGATATTAGCTCGCCATAACTAGGTTTTAATGAGTTGATGAAAACGAAGTAATTCTGAATCGACCATGACCTCATTTTAATGATAGAGGGCACGAGTTCAAATCCCACCGCAGGCGCCAATTGTTTTTAGAGTCTGACAAAATCCCTTGGAATGATTTTATATGTAGATCAAGATTGGGCCGCATTAAAACTTAGGCTACGAACACTGTTCAGAAGACTCGTCAACACGTCAGTAATATTTGTGTTTATCAGCAATTAGAAATAATATTTCAATTTTGTTCTTACCGGTATATATTTCGCGACTCAGTTTTTACCACGCTTATAGGCATGTTTGTATCAATATCCTCTATGGAGGTGATTCGTTGTTGATTAGGCCCATGTAACCATCCTCATTTCTAACCCAATGTCTGTCTGGGGGGTGGGGGATTCAAAAGACGATTTGGACCATATATCCATTTGTAATCTTATCACACTGTCTACATGACTGCCCTGCTCAATAGCCCTCTTCGCATAAAGTCACAACCATACCAATACCTAACTGTTTTATTTGGCCTACGCGTATGCGAATGTGTTACAGTCTATATATATATATATATATATATATATATATATATTTTGCCTTACTTAATTTAGAAAAAAAAAAATGCAGAATTGGCTTACTCGCCACGACAGCTCTTTTAAATAAGTTTCAATTTGCTCTGTAGTGGGTGCCTCTCCAAAACTTTGCTCTGAGTGGAAGACATTGCGGAAGTGATAATATATTCCTGAGAAATAGGTCGCGATATCACTTGGGGTTTAATTAATATGCGATTTACCGCACGGAAATCATCGTAGCATATATGATTACGAGGTATCGTAGACGTTGAAAGTCTTCGGGCTAATCCTATGGTTATGTTTTTGTAATTAAGGAAGCTGCATTTAAATTACTGTTTTGATGTTTGTTTTTGACCTTAGAATGAACTTTTACGTAACCTAGAATTTTTTATGGTGTCAAGGTTTATTAATACAAGTAAAAATATGAACCAGATCAGTGCTGGGCAAACCGGGGCCGAGGTCCAATAGTGGATCTCCAAGTCTTACCACTGGGCCTCCAATAAGTTTCATTTATGGCAGTGATACACAAAAACGTTCTATAAATGCAACATTACATAAAATCTTTTGTTTATTTATCAAACAATCATACATTACTTTCATTTCAATTAAACAAATTAAATGTCACTTAACAACTTTATTGCCCGACCCATAGAATGTTGTCGTCGTGTTAGGCCAGGTGTTCCTAAACCATGAAGACCAAGAAGGCTGACTATTATTTACGGAGCCCACAACAATTTCAATAAAAAAAACATATTATTACTTACAAATTAATGTTCCTGAGTAACTTAAAGATAATGTCATATCCTAATAATCTCCTTGTTGCCACAGTTCGAAGCTACCGTTGTCAAATGCCGTTTTTGCGTCTTTGGACAGTTCCAAAATTAGCCAAATCATTATTTTGATCAGTAAACGAATAGCTCACAGACCATTTAGGATTCTCTCACGGATCTCTTGGGCTCCGTATGGAACACTTTGAGTACCTATGTGCTAGACCAGGGCTACTCAACTGGCGGACCGCGGTCCGAATCCGGACCTTTCGAGTATTGGATTTGGACCGCACCTAATTATTTATTTTGGATCATTAGCCCCACTTTTTGAATTTCCTATCATAAAATGACTTTCATAGTTTTGAATATATACGAAAAGAAATATAACACCATAATAAACAATTTTAATTTGCTACTAATCATTAGTCGGTCGAGAAAGTGCTCGTTTAAGGATGCCGAAATATCAGTTCTGGAAAGACCGGACCCAAATAATTTTGAAGTTTTGTTTGCGGACCTTCGATAAAAATAGTTGAGTAGCCCTGTGCTAGACTATCAATCGTTATTTCTGAACCAGTATTCCTCAACCCCCTCCTGTACAGGTCGGTTCTCTGAAGGTCCTGGTCAATGGCTCTGATTTGGTACTATTCACGATAACTATACAAAATGTTTAATGTAAATTGACTCTGTTTTGCTCAATTTGGTATTATTTTACTTTATTTGAAGGGTATTTATTTTTGAACGTGGCTTGGGCTCAGTTGGGTAAAGTTTTGCACAAATTATAAACAATTCAAATTGTACAAAAGCCATACTGTGAGATCGGTATCTTACTATTTGAAAGATTCATTAAAGATTGGACAAAAAACTGAAACAAATTTTATGCATAGTGAAAGGAAATAAAAGGCATCAAAAATATGTGGAAATCATCGTTTTAATACAATAAACAGTATAAATTTTGGATAATGAATCACAAATCACAAACAGATTTTATGTAAAGTGAGGGGAGATAAAGAGTTTCAAAATAGGCCAATAGAGAAATGCTTCAAAATAACTGGGAACCACTACTGTTATTGAACACGTAATAACGATCGTTTTGTTGTTATGCTGTTCTTGTTGTTGTTCTTGTTCTTTGTATCATTCAGAAGAAATCTCTTTTCTCTTTGATTACTGGACCAATTGCCTTGAAATTTTTGGTGTTCAAAGATGGAATTTTTCCCCAGAAGGCAAATACTTTTATTTTTTGCTATGACGTCATCAAAATTATGTGGCGCTACGTGTCCATATATTTGAGCATAGCTCTCTTGTATAATAAGTAATACAATTCGATGTCAATGAAGCCCAAATCACTAAAATATGCTGAATAACCATTATGTCCACCATTTTGTAATTTTACCTCTGTGACCCTAACTTAACCTATTTGCCCATGAGACCCAAAGCAGAATCGGCAGCTTTGGAAATTTTCCAATCTCGAAATCCGCGATCAATCTCCCCGGGATTTGATTAACCTCTCTAATTACGATTTGATCGAGTCACGTTATACCAAGCGTGGCCCGAATATGATTACTTGTTTATTGTTGGAAATTATCTCTGGGCCATGCTTACTAATATGTAAACTAGTAATGCCTATGTATAAATGTGACGAATATTAACCACAAGTCACTCAACTGATGACTGATCTATGCGGAAATAATGAGGGTTCCCCACCATCAAAAACAATACGCTCTTTAAGCTAATGTTAAACTTTTTCGAGTTTGTGGTAACGATTGGGTCTCTACTGGACTAACTAGACCAGAGGTCGGCAACCTTTTGTCTCTCGCGGGCCGAAATTAAGGGTTGCAAGGCATTGGCGGGCCGCACATATTTTTAGGAAGTTGAAAACCGAACGGATGATTTTTGTGCATTTTTGTGCTTGCAACCAGAAAGCCTATGTTAATAGCAAGTACAGCCCGCGGTTTCATCCAGTTATTTGTATCTGACCCTCCCGTAGTAGAGGTTGTACACTCTTGTTCTATGTCAGGACTACTCAACTGCGAACCGCGGTCCAAATCCAAAAAAATAAAGCGTAGTTCGCTAAACCGCAGTGGAAAATTGTTATTATAATACAAGTTTCTCGAAGCAGCGACTTACTCACTGATCAAGAAGATGTCAATGCCGGCATAAAAACTGAACTTTTATTGGCTTTTTGGATACATTTTTCACCGATTTTTAGACATAGTGGTGAACATTAGCTTGTATCTGTAGTATACATATTCCATATATTCGCACCCTGGTCATTTTTAAAGTTTGTGTACGAACCTTTGATGAAAATAGTTGAGTAGCCCTGTTCTATGTGAATAAAGAGTTTTACCGCACACCAGCACACATATTCCTGTAACGTTTATAGTCAGATCAAAGGCAAACTTCCTCATACAAACATAATTCGACAAGTTTTAAACCACTTAAAATAATTTTCTAAGGTTTCGAAATTAAAATGATTCAATATATTTCTTAGCTTAAAAATATAATATTCTGATCTCATATGTACTATTACGTCATTTATGTATCGTTGTGACATCATAAGTGCTAGTAAACAATGACGATTCCCTTGTCTTCGGTAACTGTTGTCAGATATATTAAAATCTAATCATAACACTGCCAATGGGAGCACTGATTAATTTCGTGTATAACTAATATTCAATGTTTTCTAACAACGTATTAATACTTGTTCTGTCACACTATTATCATAGGACCCGTTACTATATCCGGTGGTGTTGAAAGATCGAAGGTTTTGACATGAGGTCACGACCCTAGCGAAGGTTCGACCTTTGACCCCTCTTAGTCTCAAAACACACCCTGCCATGTAAAATTCATATATAAAATATACGTTGGAATATAAAAAAAATTTCGAATTAAGTCTCTCACATTAAAATAACATGAAAGGTCTGACCGCAGAACTGACCTTAATTTGGCAATGTCTCTTGGAATGATGTTATGTGACAAGCGGTTTCGACATCTGTAGTGACTTTATTTGCGACTAAATTTGATTAATTTGTGCTATGCTTGGAATTCTGTAGAAGCGAGTCTTGCTACACCACACGGATTTATTTATGATCAATTAAATTATCTTTTTGAATAATTATTGAGCATCATCCAGTACCGGGGGTAAAGATGGCAACCCCGGTGCACACTGCGCAGATGAAGTAATAAAAGTCTTTTCTTTATTGTTTTACGATGGGATGCAAAAAATTTTGCATGTTTTCTTTCACCTCGATTCGCTCACATCAACTTCTCTCATTTCAGAAACCAAGCCGATCTAAAAAAAATTATTACCACGCATATTACCACGAACCCTTTAAACCCCGACCAATGCGTTACCTTCAATATAATGGAAACAAAACTTATAGATTATTTATTATATTTTTTACAGACGCACACGGCTTGAACGACGCAGCACATATTGAAAGTGTCCAAGAAAAGTCTCAATGCGCTCTGGAAGAGTACGTACGAACGCAGTACCCCAACCAGCCAACGAGATTCGGAAAACTACTTTTAAGACTCCCTTCCTTACGTACAGTAAGCGCTGGCATGATTGAACAACTCTTTTTTGTGAGATTAGTCGGGAAAACGCCGATAGAGACTTTAATTCGTGATATGTTGTTATCCGGGGGATCGTACGGATGGCAATACCCCCCAATGCCCATCCAATGACATGATTTCTTGAATCTGGACGCTTATAGCTAAAAAGGACTAAAAAGAACATAAAATGGAAAAGACGTGGCAAAAATAAATATAGGCAATAATGCTTGAGTATCAAAAGCAAAATTTCTAATCAACACTAGTCCGCGCCAGATTGCCTGAAAGAAATACCAAATTAAAGGCAATATATATTTTGCCTATATACTTGGAATCAAAGGCGAAGTTTGACATGTCAAATCACGGGCGTGTTTGCAATGGGCGGGCTTTCTTTTACCAAACGTGCAAGGCGGGTGTAAACAGTGCGAAGTCTGAAATATTTTGACGTCGGCTGTTGACGATTTACTCCAAAAATTATTTGTTTAGTCAGTCTCCAGTATTACATGTAAAAGCGGCTTTGTGAGAGTCGAAAGATTCAGAACATAAGGCATGTTTCAAGCGTTTTTTACTAAACATTAGTATATAAAATAGGCAAATTAAGGTTGGTTGCAAATGAATTTCTAAATTCACGGCTTGCACTGGGGAGGAATAGAAATACATAAACAGAAAAACCCGGCTGCCATCTAAGAACCACTAGTGATCTCCTGCTTCAAACGCTTCATACTAAACATTAGTATTTTGTAGGGAAATTATTATTTGTTGCAAATCATTTTTTTGAATTCGAAGCTTGCACGAGGGATGAAATAAAAATACATATACCCCGAAACTCGACTACCCTCCAAGAACCACCGGAAATCTCCCGCGAAGTTTTGGGAGTTTGCCAATCCATGTTACCAGCCAAGGCTAGTTTTCGGGGAAGACTTTATCTTGCAACATTTGATTACTATGGTCTTAAGATGTTCCTAGTATATTATTGTGTGATATTTTTGAAATTTCTCATTAGCGGCAATTATTATTACTTTTATATTAATTATTTTATGACGTCATACATTGTTATATGACGTCACTTTCAATGATTTATACGTCACCCAGTGTTTACAACTTTACGGCCGTATCAGTATATAAAATTCAGTATACAAGTCCAAATTTCGGAAGCATTAGATGATTGACTATTTCTATACACAAAATCAGTGGGTGATGAAGTCGTGTAATATTTACAATCCATTTCTGACTGTAAGAGTGTTGATTCCGGCCCCCGACCTCGGGTAAATGGAAACTCTGACCCCAGCCACTCCGGATTCCCGAAAATCGGAGGTTATAGATAAAAACTAACTCTTAGTAAGCTTAATTTACTTTGAGTTTCTGTATAAAAGTTTGACTGGATTATCACCGTGGACAGTATAAAAATTCGGATTCCGGCGAATTTGAAAATACGATCCCGCCCCCAGTACAAATAAAACTTCTCAGTCCGGAAGCAGACTTATATCCGAAGTAAAAAGCCACGTTCGCCATTATTTAAGTCGAATTTTCTTCCTCTATGATGGGAAATTCGACGTTTTAAAATTTTTATACGAACGCTACATAGAATCCTTTCTGTTATCAGTGTGTGTACATTTTGTTGCTAGTAACACTTTATACAGTTCTTCAATGGACGGATGCGCGGGAAAATAATATTCGTGCACAATAAAAACCATTGTGACGAAACAATAGTAGTCAACATGACGTGTTAATGCAATTTGAATAACCAAATATTTCGTAACAAAAAATTGTCTTCACGGCCTTATCTTCAAAACTACGCTACCTCAACTCAGCGTGCCAATATCGCCACCACGTGAGCAAATGCGTCACAAATAATTTGCACAAATTACAGTATAACGTCATAATGAGATCAGTGTTCTTCATTATTACGTATTTATGGTGTTGTCTAATGAGTATTTTATATTGTTATTTGCTACAATATATTGTAATATTGAGTTTTGCTCGTTATTACTTGATTTTTGCGTGTGGAATAAGAGTATTGACTTTTTCTCAATAGAGAGAGGTTGCAAAACCAATTATGGGATTTCCAGCAATTTTGTTTAAATATGAAATATATTTTGAGTTGCAGATAGTCACCACTGCCTAAATACCACGAGCAAAATTCCTGCATTATTTTTCCCGCATATTTTTTTTGTATTTTAAATCATTTTTCCCGCCTTTTCCATTGCATTTTTAATCATTGTTAAACCAACATTATAGTTTGTGTGAGGTAATAATCTAAAGAAGGCAGTGTAATTATTCATTTTATGACGTAACAAAGATATTTTATTGTATGTAAACGAAAGGTGTTCGTTGTCCACGGTATATGTGACGCAACAGACTTAATACTGTGACGTCCACACTTACGAGACACTAAAGTCGACAGAAGCATTTTTACTGTGATGTAATAAATTACGTCATCAATAGCACTATTTTTTTTGTTAAATGAGGGGGTTGAACAACTATTATGTTCCAATTTTCTTTTTATTTTCACGTGATAGAAATAACTATGTATGTTTTTTTTTATATTCTGCCAGTCACGCTTGATTGACATTTGCTTGAAAAACAGTATACAATATAATGCTCACCGAAGTATCGGATTTCTTGGGCAGAATTTACAACAATTTAGACATCTAGAAAGTATTCCATCGAATGTTCAGACATATTTTTCGTCTGTTCAACTCTGAAAGGCATACATATACACTCTGATCATTTACCAGGCGGTATTGAAACTTACAATTTTCTATCCAACTTGAAAGCACCCCATCTATTCAAACATTCATCCATCAAAGAAGATTTTGAAAAACTTGGCGTCTGACTGAACTCAGAAAAAAAAAATATTCACTGAACAGCTACAACATATGTTTTTAACATTGCTCTTTATCCATCAATCCAGTGTTTTTAAAAACAACTTTTCAACATCAATTTCAAATTTAGTGCCCAAAAATTCGAGACACATATTGTTATATGTATATGGTTAATTAGAGAAGCCCACGGCTAATTACTGCTCTTTTGTGAAATTGCAATTCAAGATATTTAAATTTAATTTAATTAATAACCGGTTCCTAGTTCGTACGATTAAGCTGCCTAATCGGCGCTCATGAAGTGTGTGTACCAATATGGAGGTAACTAATTTTGTTTGCATACTTTACATCAAGTTGTGTAAAGGGACTGAAACCTATGGGCATTTGGTATATTCACTTTGATAACACAGATATTCTCCGAACTCGTATTAGAACTAAAAGAAGGAAAATCAGAATGAAATTATGGTCTAACTCAACTTGGTACACACACTACGGGAGTACCGTCTAATCGGCTTTCTTCTTTCATTCATTAGATTGAAATTTCCCCATCATTTTTACTTGCCCCCAGTGATGAAAACTGAATTTTTTCTTGTCCTTGCTCTATACGTCAAGGAATCTTATTTTACCTTATTAATCTGAGTTTCAAGAATTTATTTCTTATTTTTAGCTAAATCGTCTTGTTGTTGTTTTATTGTTATTAATATTATTATCCTTAGTGTGTCCAAGGCACCAAACATATGCGTTAAAATAAAATTTTGTCATTTAGTGTTTCGTTGCTATTTTGCGTACCTGATACCAGGCTGTGTAGTCGAGAAAACTTTACATACGACTCTTTACTGCAAGACATTTAAAAAACGAATGGCGACTTCGAATGAATCCCCAAAATCCGGGTAAATCAAGTTCCTCGTTTCCAAATGATACACACTGAAATATCCCCATAAAAGATAAATAAAAAAATATTATTTTGTTTATAATAAAACTGTTTTGTAGTAGGGAATTCGTAGTTTTGGGTAACTCTATACTCATTCATAAAAACGACAGTTCCAGATACACTGGAATTCAAATAGCTTAATAGCCTATTTCGTATCTGAAGGGTACACATTAGAAATCCCTATTCTTAGTATGTACAAGGGACCAAACATATGAGTTAAAATAAAACTTTATCATTTAGCATTTCTGGGTGTTCGATCTGCAACCCTAGGTTATGCCCCTGTGCTCATATAGGCCTCAAAAAGACGAGTCTTCAATACCCTTCGGACTTATATATTAAAAATAATTAACGAATTATCGTGAAGCTGCTGTTTCAAATACTTTCAAAATCGTTAGGCTGAAAATCATTAGCCATAATCTTCAAATACGACCGTTTATTGACTGAACGGATTAAAAATAATCCTAAAATCCACTTTAGGTAGCTTTCGATTTTGAACAAAAACTTAGTACGAACTTATGACCCGACTGCTTAAACATTTTAGCAAGGATTAACTGGATGGAAAAGTATTACAGTGGATAAATATGAACAAAATTGATAGCATCGAATAGATCAAGAAATAAATTAAATGTGAGTTTGTCTGGGGTTTATGTTTTTGTGTAATCGAAATCTCATACTGTTAACGAAAATCCTTCATTTAATTTCTAAAAATTGTAAAAAATTGGAAAAAAACATGGAAAATGAGAAGAAGAAGAAAAATTATGTTGGCTCCCTATTCATTACCAATACCTTAGGTAAAATTGAGCTCACGATATATTTTTATTTCATCGCAGTAAATATTTAATAATGCTCATCTGAACGTCGAGTAGATCCAAAAAGAAATAACTTACAATATTGTACCGAAATTAATATTAGAATACCCGAGTGTGCAATTTTTTTTTCAATACCCCTCAACGATTAAGGCTATATATATAACCAAATTCAATCAGTCAATCCATCAAATCGTTTTTTATTAGCCATCCAGGCAAACGGGCACAACAAAGTTAATTAAAGCAAAATTAAAAATATATACAAATATGCCTTTGCCCAGAATGAACAGGATAACCGTTTTTTAATAGTTAACAATTGAATATCTGACACAATCGTCTCGAAATATTATTCATTTAAGTTTTCAAAAGCTTAAATAACCACAGATATGAAGTTCAATATTTTTGATGTGTTCAAGTGTTCGATTTAAATTTAAAAACTGATGTTAATATTGTTATTGGAGAATCTTGTTGACATAAACCAAGCTCGAAAATACCCTGCACGGTTGAGAGTACACCAAATTGATTTCAGTTTTGAATTACTAGCAGTAAAAATAGGAAAATTAATCAAAAACAAAAACCAAACGTTCTTGACGGTCGTTGCTAAATTCAACACCGCTAACGGAAGCCAAATGCATCAAATAACGCAGTAACTTTCATCGAGTATGCTTAAGGGATTACGGGCTTAGAAAACAAGGGTTGCACTGGAGACGACCCCTATGTGTACATTTCACTTGATGGGACTACTTAGCGAAACTGGGGTTCACGAGCGCCATGCATGATTTACTTAAGTAAATAAAGAGTAGACTGTAAAGGTCAGGGGTCAAAGGTTACGGGTAAGATAAACCATGAAATGGCTTCAGACATTAGGGTCAATGCCAAGTTTCTAGCAATGGCGTGACGAGCTTTGGCGCCAAGTTAGGTATCGATTTCAGAATCATTTGCACGTTTGATTTTGAAGTATTTTAGTTTGCCATTTTTTGTCAAAATATGTTCAGAAATGTGATATTGTTCTGCTTGGTGCGCGAGAAAAGCGCATTTCTAATATAATTTTATCTACGACTAAGATGTTCAAAATTGCATAGATAAGATTTTCGTGAAGGACAAAAATGGGCTCTCCAGAAGTGTGTGTACAAATATGAAGGTAAGTAATTTTGTTCGCCTACTTTACAGCAAGTTGTGTAAAGGGACTGAAGTCTATGGACAGGGGTATATTCACTTGGCTAACACAAACAGTCCCCAAACTTGTAATAGGACTAAAATAAGGAAAATGGGAATAAACTTATTGCCTAACCCCAACCCGGTACACACACTACAGGAGTCCCGAAAAATGATGATCGGACAATATAAAAATGCGACTAATCATTTCACGGATCGTGCATGAAAAATAGCTAACTATGTCAAGGTTAAAGATGCTTGCGTACGAATGGCGAAGGTGAACTTACTTATAGTCAACATTCCATGGCGCTTAGGAACTCAACATGGGCTTATACATGACCGGAGCCCAATTGAAAGAAACAAACAAATGGTATTTTACCCGATTAATTCGTATTTATTATAACAAGTTGTTTGGTATATAAGATTAAATATGTAAACTAAAATCAATTAAAACATAACTGTTTTTGTTTGTTGTGTGTACTCAGTGTGATGGCAGCAAATTTCAAGGCCAAACGATCGTTTGCAAATCATAAATTATTGCAATTATGAAACAGCTCATTAACGCCACCATGCGGAAAGTAG